TTTTTATGCACGGAACGAGAGGAACGGAACTGGAGAGCGTTAAGCTAAGAGCCGGCCGTGACGATGACAACCGCAGTCGTAAAAGAAAGTATTATTTGCGCGGAAGAGCGCCGTAAAAGAAAAGGGGGTAGTGGGGAGGACATTTTAAGGGGTTCGAACGGAGGGGTGGGGGGGGGGGGGGGGGTTGTTGGATGGCAGGCGCACTCGCACAGTGTCTATCGCGGGCTTCGGGTATCCGCTGGAACAACGACGACGCCTTCGAACACAAGGTGATCGTAAAAACTCTCCGCGCCACACCTCTGTTTCGCTTTCTCTTGCTCTTTAATGTTGCGTGTACCGACAGACAGGCGCGCAGTCTGGAAACAAAAGAAGCCACCGCAAACGACACAAAGACCTCGTTCCCGCGCTATGTGCTCTTTTGATGCGAACACTACACTTCGTGGATAATCGCGTACACCATTGCGAGGCTCCAGAGGATATTACGCGTATAGCATTCCCTCTGAAGAAGCAAGCGCCACCTTTAGATGCTCAGCAATATGTTTCTCTTGAACGAACGTCACGCTGCACATCAACGAAGACGACGACGACGACGACGACGACAACAACAACAACAGCAACATGATGATCATCATCGTCGTCGTCGTCGTCAACCGCATCAATATCAACAATGAAGACGACGACGACGAGAGCAGGGATTCGTGGTAACGAATGTAGACCGCACCTTCTTCACATTCTTTCCCTAAAAAGAACACCCCGTGATCGAAATTTTCGGAGCACCCCGCTAAGGCGTGCCTCATTATCATATCGTAGTTTCGGCTTGCAGAACTCCCAGCATTACATATATCATTATTAACGCGAGGAGGATAGGCCACACCCACTATGGCGTACACCATGGCGATATAACAGCAGGATGACGCTATTGCTTCTCTGTATCATATTGCGTTGTTAATGGGCATATCTCATAGTCATTATATATGCAAGTGCGTGGAAACTATCAGTGCAGACATTATCCGAAGAACTCCGGCCGTGTGACCACCCTGTGCGTATTGGAACCTGCATTTGTACGTATTCTATATATATCCAGATATCATACATTTATTGTTTGTTTTTAAATATAAATATCACGATATTTGGATAACCAGTTCCAATTTAGTCTATCTTAACACCGTTCAATATATATATATATAAGTACCCTCTCGTGCTGAAGAGATCACAAACCACGAAATTGAGGCTGCATGCATATCCTATAGCGCGCAAGGCGTCGGCAAGAAAAAAAAGAAATAAATAAAAGGAACGAAAATAAAAGACTTGGAGAACGGCACATCTCTCTCTTCCACGACAATCGTGATCTGTTCAGGTATGAAATGAGCGTACATCGGAAGAGGTTTCACTTCACGTTGAACGCGGCCGCAATCAAGAGACAGAGAGAAAAGGGGGAAAGGAGGAAATCGAACTGAAACAACGACAAAGCGGTGTAAAAAAAAAAGCAAAGTTCGTGCTGTGAGTGAAAAGCAATAAATGCGAGGGTATCCGACCACGTAAGACCAAACAGAGGAAGCAGGCGAGGCGGAGACGAAGAACGAAAGAGGAAGGCGCGCCGAAATAACGAGGCAGGAAAGAAGTCGAAACAATCAGAAGTCTACCGTGGCAAGAATAGCAGCAGTTCGAGAGAGAGAAAGACAGTTTCGAAATGACTTCGGCGCACGTACTGACCCAATGGTTGGCGAGAAGAAGGATTTAGAATAAGAGTCGTTCTTCGAGAACGGGCGAGAGAGTAATAGTTCTGTGGGAGTGAAAATTACGGGTTTTGCACGACCGCGCGCCCAGCTGAAAACGGCCGCACGAGCCATCACGACCAAGGGACGCACGCATGCGCATGAGCATTGGACGGCGACCTAGCCCGATGCGTCGTCCTTCCGGCGGCGGATCCTCGAAAAGCGGGCCGTGCCCCCATCTATGTACGAGGCTGCATATGTGCGCTTGCAATACGTGCCGCCGCCGCGGTGTGTCCGTGAGCGTGCGGGCGTGTGATTGTTTCGCCGACTGTGCGGTGCCTCCTCCGAGGCACGTTTTCTCTTCCCCGCCAAGCGCGCAGAGGAAGCCGTCATTTGCTGGGGGCCCGCGAGCTGCTTGTGATCGGAGATACGACTGCGATCAACGCTCATACAGAGTGGAAGTACGGCAAAAAGGACGGACTGATGGGATAGTTTGGTCGAACATAATTCATGCGGTAGCCCTATGATAAACACGTGGAGGGGGAAAGAAAACGACGGCACATACTGTTTCACAGCTCGTGCGCACTCGTCCGCAGCTAGTTTGCTCGGATGTGCGAATTAAACACTGCACTTCGTTCATAACCACCACTTCAGTGATGTCATTACTATTTTGCGCAAAACGAAGATTGATAAAGAGGTGGCGGTAGTATACGTATATACTTCGCAGGCAGTGCAGGTGGCCGAACATGTCAACATTCGCGACGAAAAGAAGAAATCGTTCAAGAAGACATAGCGGTCTCCGTCATGGTGACATACAAGTATGGAGCAGGAAATCGACGAATTCGGCTAACTTTATTTATTAACGCTGTGTGTGTGTGTGTGTGTGTGTGTGTGTGTTGTGTGTGTGTGTGTGTGTTGTGTGTGTGTGTGGTGTGTGTGTGTGGTGTGTGTGTGTGTGTGTGTGTGTGTGTGTGTGTGTGGTGTGTGTGTGTGTGTGTGTGTGTTGTGTTGTGTGTGTGGTGTGTGTGGTGTGTGTGTGTGTGTGTGTGTGTGTGTGTGTGGTGTGTGTGTGTGGTGTGTGTGTGTGTGTGGTGGTGTGTGTGTGTTAAAAGCAACAAACCGGGAGCCACAAAAACGAACAAACTGCGCAGGTGCATCATAGTTGCAAACTTCCTAGCAAAAGAACTCCATGATCAAGTAGGCAACCGCTGCATGGTGCGGTAGTGCACGTGTCAGCACCATATTGATATGGTGAGCATCTAGCATTACCTTTATTTCTGATCATCGTGTGTGTGTGGGGGGGGGGGGGGGCAGACGTTTGTGGTATCCTAGAAAGCCGGAGCACACCTGAGACGGGCCTGGTGCATGGAAAGCTGGCTCAAATGTGCACGTTTCAGTGTGAACTCCAACCTTCTGTGAAACGAATATTCCCGCAGATACTTGAAGTATACGAGTACGTAACTGGGAATAGGGACAAGAGCGTAAGCCGCGGTGTAACGTCTTTCTAGGTGCCTGTGTATACTTACGCGTCCACATTTGGGTTACCACGATTCACCGACACGTTCAATCAGCCGTTCTGACAATTCACACGGGCATTCCGCAAACACGCTAGCGCCGCTCCACGTTGAGGACGTGCTCCGCGCTGACCGCGGCTTCACCACGCAAGGGCTCCACGCTTCGTCGTGCGTGTATAGAACAGACACGGCGCGGTTGCCGTCGTATAGGACTGCGACCACGACGACGAATCGCGGCGGGCACCATTAAGTCCCGCACGTTCGCCGCCAATGACGTGAGCGGCCTAGCCAAGTCGTGACGCTGCCATTTGGGTTCCGGAGGCCGCCACAGTCGCCTCGCTCGTGTGATTGCGACATGAGTTCACCTCCCCTCTTCATCTTTCCGTTCTTTCTCTCGCATTGTCGATTTCCTTTTGTTGCTTTCTGTTTCTCCGTCCGTACGCTTCGGCAGTGCGCAGGGACATCAATCAAAAAGAAGGGGAGGGGGTAGAAACGTTTCGTGCCCACTGCGTGTTAGCCGAAGTCACCTCCTTCGGCATTTCCCCATTGGCTGCCGCAGCCGCCACCGCTTTCGGGTACGATTTGAATGTCCGCGAAACACTTTGATTGCGAATTTTCATACGTGCATTCCTGTTCTCTGTACGGGCCGTCAACTCGAGACCGTATACAGGGCAGGAAAAGGAAAAAAATATATTAGTTTTTGAGGGCTCGAAATAAGTCATGAGCGGCTATTCACTGATCTCGCGTGCTTGGGAATTCGGGCACTTTTTGTACGGTATAACTGCCGCGTTGTTTCACAGTCAGGTTTCGAGGGAGATCGGTAAGTACAGCATGTAGCAACGCAGGGTCTAGTAAGCATTATCCTACAATCACAAGATGCATAGTTACACTGGTGAGATTGGAACCCGCAGTTACCGTGATTCAACGAAGGATAAGTATTCTCTGCAACGACCGACAAATGATCGTCTCTGGTTGAATCACAGGAGCACTTACACCATAGGCTGAATTAGAATGGATAAACGTTTATTGGGTCTTCCTAAACAGGGATCACTTTGTCGCAGGCCGCTCCCACGTGGTGACTGAGATGCCGAGTCCTCAGCGCCTGGGGCTTGGTGGACAGCCCAGAGCTGATCTGCCAAGGACGAGCTGCGGATTGCCGTCTCTCATCTGGCAGAGGTGATGTTCGGTAAATGAGCGAATTCGGCACACTGCCAGAGCATGTGTTCTGTTGAACCTATTTCCCCACAATGTAGGCAAAGATTACTTAGATATAGGTGAGGGTATATAATGTGTAAAATTTTAAAAGTAAAGGGTACGTCGGGTTTGCAATGCCTTAATGTGTGGGCTTGGGGCGAGTTATGTATTAGTGAGGTGGAGGAAAAATCCTTCTGGACAGATAGAAATGTTTAGTGAGCTTTTTACACATTGTGG